TCTGGCCCCGTTCAAATACAACAAAAGTGTTTCATATAAAGTTAAAAGATACTCAAAAAAGTAAAAAGAAATTTAAAAAAGTTAAAAGAAATTCAAAAAAAAGTGATTCAAAAAAGTTAAAAGAAATCAAAAAAATGTTTTTGAATCACTTTTTTGAATCACTCCTAAATTTTTTGAATCACTTTTTTGAATCACTCCTAAATTTTTTGAATCACTTTTTTGAATCACTCCTAAATTTTTTGAATCACTTTTTGAATCACTCCTAAATTTTTTGAATCACCCTTAAATTTTTTGAATCACTTTTTTGAATCACCCCTAAATTTTTTGAATCACTTTTAAAATCTTTTATAAGCTTCTCTCACTTGATACTTGATACTTGATACTTGATACTTGATACTTGATACTTGATACTTGATACTTGATACTTGATACTTGATACTTGATACTTGATACTTGATAGTTGATACTTGATACTTGATACTTGATACTTGATACTTGATACTTGATACTTGATACTTGATACTTGATACTTGATACTTGATACTTGATACTTGATACTTGCTACTTGATACTTGATACTTGATACTTGATACTTGATACTTGATACTTGATACTTGATACTTGATACTTGATACTTGATACTTGATACTTGATACTTGATACTGATACTTGATACTTGATACTTGATACTTGATACTTGATACTTGATACTTGATACTTGATACTTGAACTGATACTTATACCTTGATACTGATACTTGATTACTTGATACTTGATAAATTGAATGACTTGATACTTGACTACTTGATACTTGAATAACTTGATATTGATATCTTGATACTTGAATACTTTGATACTTGATACTTGATACTTGTAATACTTGATACTTGATACTTGATACTTGATACTTGATACTTGATAACTTGATACTTGATACTTGACATACTGTGATACTGATACTTGATTACTGTAACTTGATACTGATACTTGAACTTGATTACTTGATACTTGATACTTGATACCTGTATACTTGATACTGATACTTGAACTTATAACTTGATACTTGTACTTGATACTTGATACTGATACTTGAGACTTTGATACTTGAATACTTGATACTTGATACTTGATACTTGATACTTGATACGTTGATACTTGACAACTTGTAACTGATACTTGATAACTAATACTTGATACTTTACTTGATACTTGATACTTGATACTTGATACTTGATACTTGATACTTGATACTTGATACTTGATACTTGATACTTGATACTTGATACTTGATACTAGATACTTGATACTTGATACTTGATACTTGATACTTGATACTTGATACTTGATACTTGATACTTGATACTTGATACTTGATACTTGATACTTGTTACTTGATACTTGATACTTGATACTTGATACTTGATACTTGATACTTGATACTTGATACTTGATACTTGATACTTGATACTTGATACTTGATACTTGAAACTTGATACTTGATACTTGATACTTGATACTTGATACTTGATACTTGATACTTGATACTTGATACTTGATACTTGATACTTGATATTTGATACTTGATACTTGATACTTGATACTTGATACTTGATACTTGATACTTGATACTTGATACTTGATACTTGATACTTGATACTTGATACTTGATACTTGATACATGATACTTGATACTTGATACTTGATACTTGATACTTGATACTTGATACTTGATACTTGATACTTGATACTTGATACTTGATACTTGATACTTGATACTTGCTACTTGATACTTGATACTTGATACTTGATACTTGATACTTGATACTTGATACTTGATACTTGATACTTGATACTTGATACTTGATACTTGTTACTTGATACTTGTTACTTGATACTTGATACTTGATACTTGATACTGATACGTGATGACTTGATACTTGATGACTTGATACTTGAACTTGATCTGATAGCTGATACTGGATACTTGATACTTGATATGACATGATACTGTAGTACTTGATACTGATACCTTGTATACTTGATACTGATACTTGATACTTGATACTTGATACTTGATACTTGATACTTGATACTTGATACTTGATACTTGATACTTGATACTTGATACTTGATACTGGATACTTGATACTTGATACTTGATACTTGATACTTGATACTTGATACTTGATACTTGATACTTGATACTTGATACTTGATACGTGATACTTGATACTTGATACTTGATACTTGATACTTGATACTTGATACTTGATACTTGATACTTGATACTTGATACTTGATACTTGATACTTGACACTTGATACTTGATACTTGATACTTGATACTTGATACTTGATACTTGATACTTGATACTTGATACTTGATACTTGATACTTGATACTTGATACGTGATACTTGATACTTGATACTTGATACTTGATACTTGATACTTGATACTTGATACTTGATACTTGATACTTGATACTTGATACTTGATACTTGATACTTGATAGTTGATACTTGATACTTGATACTTGATACTTGATACTTGATACTTGATACTTGATACTTGATACTTGATACTTGATTCTTGATACTTGATACTTGATACTTGATACTTGATACTTGATACTTGATACTTGATTCTTGATACTTGATACTTGATACTTGATACTTGATACTTGATACTTGATACTTGATACTTGATACTTGATACTTGATACTTGATACTTGTTACTTGATACTTGATACTTGATACTTGATACTTGATACTTGATACTTGATACTTGATACTTGATACTTGATACTTGATACTTGATA